TTCAGTTGATGATTTTGGCAAGGAGCGAGGTCATCGCCACCAAGAGCAAGCTCGCAACGCAAATGGTACTTGAATTAGGGTCGGCTTCAAACTTACGGGTGGCTGCCGGCTTCGCCGAGTCGAAGTTCTTGCAGGGCGTCTCGCGCCTTATGAACTTGAAGAGGGCCTCGATCACGTTCGCTGGGGTGTTACTCTCGCACTTCTCGAACTCCTTGACCGCGCACACCTGGAACTTTTCCATGTCGCTGTGATCGGAAAAAGAAGAAAACGAATTTAGTTTTAGATTTTTTTTCTTTTGTGATCGATTGCGATCTCACCTGCATTCCTGTTCGCCGATGGTGAAGATAGGTAAGTTGGTTATGGACAGATCCTTCGGGACTCTCGACTGGAAAGTTTGGTTGGCGCAGAACTGAATTCCGTCTTTGGATTGTTCCAGACATTCCAGACCGCTTTCAGCTACGAACACTGCGGAAAAATAAAAACATTAATATATGCACAAGTAAATATTTCAGTAAATTATACTGTTACATAACGTTAACAAATTAAATTTTGATATTTCCAAATTACTTGAACTTCGTAATCAATTTATCAAGATTAGTCAGAGATAATATAATTACACACGCACACTTAAACTGATTAATAGGAAAATTTAAGGATTGGCCTATTTAATAGAAAACGTACTTTCAACTTTCATAGCTATGTTTTAATTTTGTCATGAAATTAACGATTTTTCAGGTATTTCATCGGAACGCGTGTAATTAGGACATTGCTGAAAGCACGTCGTAAACGCCCCAAACACCTGTAATATAATATAATAGCATTTTCACACTTTCCATTGTGATTTCTCGGTCGATTTACGATGCGACTTGTAAATAACGAAAATGGAGGGTCATTAACCCAATTCCGCGCTGAATACTCCTGCAATTTTCAGAAGAGGAAAATTCAGGACGAAACGCGTATTGATAGTATAGTATATAAAATAAAGGTAAACAAATATCGATTTCATTCGAAGTTAATGAATGAATAGCAAATATTTGCTGTAGGAAGTGTTTACATAAATATTATATTACGTCCTCGCTGCGACGTTCGATGATATCAAGTAATTGCTACGTTTATAGAGCTGTATCAGGTTATTCAATAACGATGAAGTAGTTAATGAATAACGTTAATGAATTTATACTTACATGCCAAACGATCACCATCCTTGAAGCACGAGAAGTTTCCCACTTTGTCGACGACGTTGATGAGGACCTTCAGACTGGTCTTCTCCTCCGGCTCCAGACACTTCTCCACCTTCTTCAGCACGTCCGTCACGCACGCCATAATCTCGGGCCTCTTCTTGCAGTACTTTCCGAACACCTCGTCCATGGATCCGTCCTTCTTGGCCACCTCCAGCTCCTCCATGATCACAGTTTGGTTTACGTATTTCTGCACGCACTCCTGCACCGCATCCTTTGAATTCTATAAAACAAAACAAACGTAATAATTAGTAATAGGCAACTTGTGCTTCATTGATCATCTGTTAATTACGACAATCATTATTACTTAATTGATAAAGTAATTATTTAAATATAACTAAGTAAGAAAATGCGTAAATTTATAATATTCTTACCCAAAGTTATTCATAATCACACAACAACAACAACAACAACAAACAGTGAACGATATCAGAAAGACATTTTGTGGTCGAGCGTCGCTTTAAATCAACAATTTAAGAAAAGACAATCGGTTGTCCTTAGCAACGCGATTTCTATTGGTGGATGTTTCAATGTATGCAACTGAAAGCGCTTCATCGAGATTTTCTTTGAAGAATCACTCTGTATAATATTATTATTGGAACTATTCCAAAACTAAAAATCTTTCAGTTTTCAGTGAATAACAAAGTATGAAAATCAATTGAAATACGCGTACGTATAAAACATCTGCTTCTAAATTACGATCGTCGCTTGATCCAATTGGTCCAAGGACGAAATTATCGATCAAGGAAAGCCTTGCTTTTAACAACGTATGCATTAAGAGAGAAAAAAATCTCTAAAACGATATAATTTAACGCAAATTGTTGATTACGACTTATCAGTTTCGTATCAATCCGATTGATTATCAATTCAGACTAGATATTACAACATTCAGACTAATCCTATAAGCGCAGCACATTAACATTCGAATTGCAGATGGCGTTGAAGTGCAAAATGCTTGAAGTGTATGCATCCAAAGTTGCAACTTACCACGATATCGTCGAAGGAGTTTTCGTCTCCGTTCTTCTTGCACTTCTCCCTCAAAGCTTTCTCGACTTCCTCCTTCTGCGGCAAGGCACTCTGGTTGAAGTTCTCCAATCCGGGAATCTGATTCTTGACATTGTCCAAATCCAGATCCTCCAGTTGACAGAGAACGGCACCTGAAAAACAAAACAAAAAACAAAAGCATTAATCCAAGACGCTCGTAGATCGAATACATCAAAGTTGATAAACTCCATTACGTAATCCATTGAATTTTTCCACAGATATCGCGATAACCTTGCGGACAATATTTGCGCATTTGTTGTTTGTGTTTTTTTTTTTCTTTCCTTATACAACGAGATTACGCAACGGTTTTCATTTGTTTCGTAAATGATGCAGGAAGTTCTTTATATGTTATTTTCCCTGCTGTAAATATGATGATAAATTTGTTTCTGCTGTATCGAAATCAACGAGCAATTAGCGCACGAACGGACTTTGTTATCTTCGAGATAAATCACTTTCAATCGTAGAAGTGCACTTTTACCAATATTCATACGATTTTAGCTACAATTCAATTATACAAAGCATTCTCAGATCTCGTTTAAAACAAAAAAAAAAACAATTACAGAAAAACCTCGAAACAACCGAAATCCCGACTATGTCAAAATCCTGACAGCTATCTGTCAAATGTGACAGTTGTTTATGAATATTGTCCATAAACATATTGTTTCCATTGTACGACCTTGAGACCGAGGAAAAACCTCGAAAACCGAAATCGTCATCGAAATCCCGACAATACGTCAAAATCCCGACTATACAAATCCCGACTATGTCAAAATCCTGACAGCTATCTGTCAAATGTGACAGTATGTTTTAATATTCCGTATAAACATATTGTTTCCATTAACGACCTTCGAGATCGAGGAAAAACCTCGAAACAACCTAAATCCCGACTATGTCAAAATCCTGACAGCTATCTGTCAAATGTGACAGTTGTTTATGAATATTGTATAAACATATTGTTTCCATTAGTACGACCTTCGAGATCGAGGAAAAACCTCGAAACAACCGAAATCCCGACTATATCAAAATCCCAGATATAGCGAAATCCCGACTATGTCAAAATCCTGACAGCTATCTGTCAAATGTGACAGTCCATTTTTAATATTCCATAAACATATTGTTTCCATCATAACGGCCTTCGAGATCGAGGAAAGACCTTTACGTTCTTTTTTTTTGGTTCATTTTCATTTGTTTTTTTTCTATCGTGCTTCGATTTTGGCTCGCGCTGCGAATATAAAAATCTGATAAATTTGTTTTAAAAGATTTGCATGCAGCGTTAAAAATATCGAAATTTATGATTTTCTATAAATACGTAGCGTACATCTGCTAGGTCTCTATAAATTTAGTTCAGTGTTTGTACAGTTAATCGCAGTTATCGCTGTTGACTCATTTGTTTCCGTCATATCTCTTTTCTTACATGAAAACTATGGGTCTATGGTCGCAAGCCCGACAACCGACAATTGAAATCCCGACTGTATTAAAGTCCAGACGCTTGAAATCCCGACTACCGTAAAAATGTTATTGTAGAAATTTATAATAATAAAAGACACTGTCGGGATTTCGATATAATCGGGATTATGGTAGTCGGAATTTTGTTATAGTCGGGATTTCGATATAGTCGGGATTATGGTAGTCGGGATTTCGATATAGCTGGGATTTTGATTGTCGGGATTTTGATATAGTCGGGATTTCGATATAGCTGGGATTTTGATTGTAGGGATTATAGTAGTCGGGATTTTGATATAGTCGGGATTTCGGTTGTCTGGCTTGCGATTGCCACCGGAAAACTATGGTTACGCCAATGTTTTAAATCGGTTGTCATGAGAACTGTCAATTGACTGTATGTCATCTAATATGAAGTCACGTGTAATTCCCATTTTCGGTACAAAAGTTTCTATTTTGTTTGCGGGGAAGGAAAGAAAAACCGGATTTGAAGATACTCGACCTTGAGCTGTCTCCGTTTTCTATTTTCTTTTCACGAAAAAGCTAGATTGGGATCTCCAAAGCGAAGTAATGATACTTGGAACGCGTTGTTTACCGAACGAGAGGAAAAACACACATACATTTGCAATTAAATTCAAAACTGGTTTTGTGTAATTATGCGGAATTCAAGGAAAGAAACCGAAAAAAATATAGCAAAATATATCAATAAACGAAACGTAAATTGAAGAACAAATAGTCATATTTATTTATTTATATGTTATCTAGTTGGAAATGATGAGTAATTGAACTGAATCAGAAATGCTTTGAAAACAATTTAACGTTTCGATGACTCAAAAAAAAACAGAAAGAAAAAAAAAACGATCGAAGAAGCATCGAATTTGTGACCTGGACAGTTGCACTCCAATACTGTCCAATTGATCTCCAAGGTTACGTAACAATCGTGGCGGTAAAATGAGACTTATCAGAAAGAAAATACGTTGACAGTAGGGCAGTAGGATTACGAGATTTGACTTTAACCTATGGTCTACAGTTCAATGTCGCCAGGTGATCCAGTTTCGAAGATTAATTGCAGGTGAAAATATGCTCGAACTGTCTCATCGGTCGAGGAGACGTCATGTGAACTGTCAATTATGAAGTTTGTCCAATTTGATTCTTCACGAATGATGACGTTTCGTTTCAAATGTTTCTCGCTGAAAATACCGGCGAAAACAAATAATTGCGAGACAGGTCGTTTCCTTGGAAATCGTAATTATTTACGTAATGACGTGAGCAACTATCGTTGTCATTGGTTGCGTTGCGCCGTCTTGGATAAATTATACGGGTTAATTTAATTAAGAGCGCGTAAAAAAGATCATAGAATGTGAACAAACAAAAAAACACACACACATACACACACATAAAATCTATTAGAAAAAGTGAAATTTATCTGAATATAGAGTGCTATGACGATGCATAGGTTAAAGTACAAAAACAACAACGCAGATCGGTCGCGAGGAAATGCAAGAAACATACAAAGCGAATGAGTCACTGGACGGGACGGGACGAAACAAAGGGCGATCAATCGAAACAAATGATCTCTTACCGATGAAAAGGGCTGCTATGACGACGGCGTTGTAGGTCTTCATTTTCTTGTTTTTTTTTTTTTGGCTTGGACGTCTCACGTGATTGTAATGACTGTCACTTTCCGCGCGCGGAAAATAAAAAACTTATCGAAATAAAAGAGGAAAATGCGAATCGAACTGTGACCCACACGTATACGTTTGTCTGTCTCTGCTCGAAAAACCGTCTACACCGCTCGATGTGCGCCTCGCTTCTGCTGCTGTCAAACTACAAACTGTCAATGGTTGTCAGCTGCCCCAAAAAAAAAAGAAGATGGAACTCCCACCACCGCGAGGAGGGAGAGGAGAAGCGCTAAATTCGAATTCGATAAACTAATTAAAATTGCAGCAAATAATTATTATTAATTTGCATTATATTTATGTCGAAAGGAATATGTTTACCCAAATGTAAAGAGTGAAAATATGTTCTTTGTCTCATCGTAATTGACGTACGTTCGCTAATTTAGACACAATTTAGCAAAAAAAAATTATAAAAGTCAATAACTAGGACATTTATGTAATTCTAATCTAGATGTTATTTAGTAGTTAGTAGTTAATCGAATCTAGTTTATGCAACACTATTAACATTTACTACTTACAACTGTCGTTTGAAACTTGTTTTCAGTCCAATGTCAATTCTCCCATTATTCTCCACCAATCTTTGTTGAATACCTAAAAAAATATGAAATTAGAAACTTTCAAATTATTTCTTTTTATATTATTTACCTTTTCCAGGATTGAAGCAGATCACTTTCGTTGTTTCTTAATTCGAATGGACAATTGTTGTTTCGATCAAAATGACAGTTTGACAGAAACTGAACGTCAGTTTGATGGAATGTCATTTAAAACTAATTTCAAACAAATGAGAACATGGCTGTCGTGATCAAACATTTTCTTTTCACTTGGCGCCAAATTTTCAAATTCGAAAACTGGATTTAACGAGGGTAAAAAATCACACAGACATTAAGAATATTCGAAAATACGAAACTTTTATTCATAGCTGTTATTTGGTACGAATAGTTGGTTGTAATCAGTATCAGAATTTTGATTATGCAACACTATTAACATTTACTACTTACAAATGTCGTTTGAAACTTGTTTTCAATCCAATGTCAATTCTCCAATTATTCTCCACCAATCTTTGTTGAATACCTAAAAAATATGAAATTAGAAACTTTCAAATTATTTCTTTTTATATTATTTACCTTTCCCAGGATTAAAGCAGATCACTTTCGTTGTTTCTACGTAATTCGATCGATTTTTTTTCGATCAAAATGACAGTTTGACAGAAACTAAACGTCAGTTTGATGGAAGTCAAATAATGTCATTTAAAACTAATTTCAAACAAACTTTTTGGCGCCAAATTTTCAAATTCGAAAATTAGATTCGACGAGGGTAAAGAAATCACACAAACACTAGGAATATCCGAAAAATACGAAACTTTTATTCATCGCTAGTAAAAATTAAATCTTATAAATTTATCATTCACCAATCGATTCTCTTCACACAAAATAATAATAAACATCTCGTTTTTGCTTTTGTTTTCTCGAGAGTCGAGGCTCACTACTTCCGCCTTATTAATTACTTTGTACATGAATACTTCGCATTTACACTCAATCTCTTTACAACAAAGATAAATTAATTATTTGAAAGAAAGACAAAAAAAAAACTATTTTTTTTACACAAAATATAATTGTTATTAATTATTATTAACAGAATTGGGAGAGAATAAAGAGGGTGGGGGGTGACGTAATTCGTCCACGCACACTCACGAATTACATTTGTATCTATCTATGCACATACTTTAAATCTACATTTATATAATCATATATAAAAAAAAATCGGAATTTCACATTTCCGATGAAAATCATCCATTACACATTTTTTTTGCTTTTCTTAAATATTATACAAAATAATGCTATTATTCCGATTACAATCAGATTCGCTTCAATTCTATAATTTATATCAGTCGTGAAATAATAGTACATAAATGTTCATAATAATATACAATAGTTAATAAATACACAATTATTGCTTCATCAATCATCGAGTTGTCTCCATAACAACACTCTCTTATAGTCGTCGTTGTCATGACATTTGTTGTGATGATTGTCAATTTTTTTTTGTTGTTGTTGAGAACAACACACGCACGCACGCACATAAAAAAAGAGAAAACAAAAAAATTTTGGCGAAAAAAACAAACGAAACTTATAAACAAATATATATATTTACATGCATTTGTACTTCGGGAGAGAAATAATTAATATTACTATTATTGAATGTTATAATTAATTCATTACAATTATTTTAATCATATTTATTATTAATTTTTTTTTGTTGTCGAGTTAAACTATCACTATTTCCTATACTCTATCGTAATATTATACTTTAATTTCTTCCTTCATTTTTTTTTTAAATTTTAATTTCTCAATTTGGTCCCATTTCGTTTAATTTTTAATTTTTGTGTTGATGAACGTTTGCGCATTTGCGAAAATTTCTCAATTTCTTTTTTAAAGCGGCGAATTTCGAGCGAAGGCACACATCTTTCGTGTCTCGGAAGAGAAGAAAACTATAATACAATATAATTGATTCCTAAACAAAAAAAAACCGAAATAAACTAATTGAACTTTTCGAATTCGGCGCGGTGCATCTTCATCCAATTTCATATAAATATCAATCGATAATCTCATTCATTCTACAATTGTTTCAAAATGATAGTTTGACAGAAACTAAACGTCAGTTTGACAGAAACTAAACGTCAGTTTGACAGAAACTAAACGTCAGTTTGACAGGAACTAAACGTCAATTTGATGGAAGTCAACTGTCACTTTGACATAATAATGTTATTGGAATTGTAGAATGAACGAGAGAAGAAGTTCGTGAAATCTGCGCACCTGTTGAAGAGGACAAATGCGCGGATTTCATCGGAGATGTTTCGAATTCGGAAGATGCACCGCGCGGAAACTAATTGCAGAATACTGTTGGGTGGCTTCCTTTTTTTTTTTGCTTTTTCGCCGTGTTTTCTCGCGTTTCAATATTATAATTGTTTTTTTTTTACAACTTATTCGATAAATTTATACACATGTGTTCACTCTAACCCTAACGCATATCGTGTTGTTCCTAAAGCTTCGAAATTACAAATAATAATAATAAAAATAAAATACAAAACAAAACAAAAATTGCTGCCGAAATATACTTTTAAATGTGTCTACTCCATCCGATGAAGCTTTACTTAAAGTTATAGAATCATTGGAGCTTAAAACTGAACTAATCTTTTAGGCGGCAGGAGAGATATATCTTAATACCTATTTACAAAAAAAAAATAAAAAAAAAATTATCACCAACTTTACACAGCATCTTAATTTCCTTGTTAAACTAATTAAAAAAAATATATATATATATGAAAAAAAAAACTATGGCGCTTCGCCCTTCGCACCGAAATGCCGTGAACGAGATGAACTAATACATGAACGAAGGGAAGGAATAAAGGGCGAAGCGCGCGGACAATTTTACCTAAAACTTACTTAAGATTAAGTCATCGTAGGGTATGTGTGTCTCCTAGTTTTGTATGTAATACGTCGTCG